TTAAAAAAGCTAGATTTACAGTGTGGTATCTCATAGTCGAATTAAATAAATGTCAATATCGGGTATACGATACAATATATTTCAAACTCATAACTCCATAAATTCCAGGAGTGAGTTGCATCACACGATTGGTTGAAATTATCGTCTCATTTGCATAAATTAATATTCATGAGCAATGAAAAACTCGTCTTTTCAGTAAAATTGTGCCAAAATGCTTTCCGACAGCATATATGTTAGTTCTAAATTGACTGATTCTATCGTTACGGGCTGAAAAAATAATCGGAAAAATGATGTAAAGGTATATGTGAGAAACGCTTTCGATCAGACTCCAGCTAACTTTTGAAAGTAAGCACGGGTTTTCTCTTTACCATAAATCAAAGCAAGTTATGAAATTCATGGAGAATGCAGAGACACGGTTATATTTCACCTTAGTTCTATTGCTCAAAATTGCTCAAAATGTTTTCGGTGACTTTTATCAGTGACAAGTTACCTAATTAGTATGCATTTCGAGAAACTACAGTGTGTGTGTGCATGCGCAGTTTGAAATGGAACAGATTTGAACGCAATAAAATCACGCGTAGAACTCGGCTCAGCAAGAAATTGTGGCGTCAAACTGGTTGTCGGTTGAATTGTTTTGCAATAGACATAATTTTGGAGCCTGTATTTGTCTATGAAATGTTTCTAAGTTTTGTTGAGAATTATTCTGTAAAGAAATTGCTAAAAATATATCATCTGTTCATAAACGGGGCGTTGTTGCTTTGACGATGGGCTACGCACGACTGACGTCGAAACGTTCCATTCAGATCGGATGGCGCCCTCTCGTGCCACCCCGCTTTGATAAATTCTGAATTCTAATTCATCCATGAAATGCTCACGTGACAATTGAGTAACACCATAGACTGAGTCAATGATTGTTCTAAAACGATTTCTTCTGTGGACCAATTGTCGTCTGTTAAATGTATACAAGTTGAAGTTGTCCCTTATAGCTGGGACTATGTTGGTCTTATTTTGATTTCCATGCTTGACTGTTTCACGCTCGACAATTGACAAATAGCCAGGTTGCATTATTGCATTATTTTGTTAAGGTAGAGTAACTGTTGACGATGACCTATGGGTAAGAGATTTGATTTTTCAAAATCTCTGGATGGAAGCGTCAAATATTATTCCGAAATATCCCTTACCATACCAAACATCGTGGGTTCCATAACAAATCAAAAGAAATTCTTTATATATTCAATGTACATAGTTGGCAAACTCTTTTGTTTATCAGTGATAATTTCGCAATTGATTTTCCATTATTTGTCTCGACACATTTAACATATTTAACGTGAGCATTCAGCAGGATTCTTTTTCTTCTATTGCCAATACCAGTGATGTTCAATCGGTCAATATTGTTTGGACTAGTGCCACATTTAAATGTTAAGTGATAAAGACTGTAAATGATTTGAACTAAGTTCATTAATTAAAGTCCCCCTCCCATGTCATACATCATTGGGATTGGAGACCTTATGCCACAACTATTCTATTTCTCATAATTTGTGTTTTGTAGTTTGTCAGGATAGGTTATAGTGGAATATATCCTAGGGTCCACGCCACTAATTAACATTTATGGCATTGTTGATTGAGAACAAAAAACACACACACAAAAACAACATCTGGAATATAGTTTTTAAGAATCACACCATATTGATATTGTGGAAATTTCAATTGTAATGGAAACATACTATGACAGAACCCCACACCCTCCCCGT